GGCTCAACACCTTTTATACCAATTTAAAAACACATTTATGAGAGGATTTTACTAAAATTTGGCTCTACAAATGCTGTCTCTTATTATTATTATTATTATTATTGAGTATCTCGGTGTGTCTGCTGGGATGTTGTATCCCTCTCAGACTGGGTTGGCCCTGACAGGCAGGGTGGGAAGCCCGCCTCCTAATTGATCTAAATATTGTGTTGATGAGGGCATAAAAACTTTTACTTTTCCTTTTTCCTTTTATTGTTTCCTTCCTCTGGTATCCTTAGGAAGTGGAGGGGTGGTGCAGGTTTCGGTCCTGTGCTAGGTGTGTAGCGTCTGTGATAGATATCTTCTTTTGTTCCAGGACCTTTTTAACCCCGTACAGTCAGGTCTTTCTTGGTCTTCCTCTTGATTTGAAGCCGGATTCTCGCGGGTGTTGTAAGCTCTAGTCGCTAGTTGTTTCGGGGGCATTCTGGTTAGATGTCCAAACCATTTGACTCTTTGACGCTCTATGAATTTTATTACTGGTGGTATTCCGGTTTGTAGGCATATGGTTTTGTTTCTTAATATGCGGTCTCTTCTGGTGACCTTGATGGTTTTACGAAGACACCTCATTTCGCATGCATTGATTTTCCTTTCTTGTGCCTTGTTTAGAGACCATGTTTGGCACTGGTATGTTAATGTTGGTGTGAAGATGCTGTTTATGAGCTGGGATTTCACTTCAGTTGGGATGTTCTTTGTGGCTTAGCATATTATTGAGCAAATAAAGACATCTACAATTATTTAAGTGGGTGGTTGGCGGGTGCTCTGGTGTGGTTTGCTTCTTCTTTCCTATCTAACATCTATCGTCCTTATCTCCTCTTCTTTTATATTTTTTTTACTCTCATGTAACACCTCAATCTTCTGGCGCTCCTATGACCATATGCAGTTGCGAGCGCCGTAAAACCTGTACTAAAACTAAAAACAGTTGTTTACAATGTGACTCTTTGTGTGTCTTTTGCCGGTGTGCCAGGTCAAGTGGGGCGCGGCCAACCTCCATGATTGAGATGAGAGATTCCAGCCGACAGAACATGCAGGGGGTGAGTGCGGCGTTCTTGTCTCTGTACCGGTGTTGGCGCTTTGTTTGTTTTGACTATGATGTCATCAGTTTGTCCCTTGACCCCCCGGGCGGTGCTACTGACTGAACTTGTCTTTAGGCTATTCCCAAAGGGGGGACACTAACATGTTCTTATGCACAGAAGAATTGTAAATGGGCTGATTCATCAATGTCATGCTCATAACTGTGCCTGAACTGCAACAGGGAACTGCTGCTTTTTCTTTCCTCATCCTTACTATTGTCATTGTTCCCCTACTTCTTTTGTATGCTTGTCACTCTCTTGTGACCCGCTATTTTTGGGTTGCCTTGATAGTCGAAGCAGATTTTGAAGCTAGAGAGGTGAGCAGAGTAAGCCTGATTCCCTGTTTGGACTTCTCTTTTACACAAGACTCTACAGCAGACACGTGGGTGGTTGGCAGGTGCTCTGGTGTGATTTGCTTCTTCTTTCCTATCAAACATCTAACGTCCTTATCTCCCCTTCTTCTTTTTTATGTTTGTTACTCCCTTGTAACACCTCTAATCTTCTGGCGCTTATATGACCTTATGCAGTTGCGAGCGCCGTAAAATCTCTACTAAAACTTTTAAAAACTAAATAATTCAGGGAAATAAATGTACGTGTGACATAGTTTTGTCTCATGTTCCTTCTTGAAGTACAATGTTTTGTATGATCTTATTCGAATCAGCCAATCATTGACTCTGCAGATGTGAGTTACTAAGCAATGTGATATTTCAACACTAAGATGAAACAAATGGTGAGACAATTTTGCAAAACAATTAGTGGAACAGTTCTGAAAAACAGTCAGTGGAACAGTTCTGATAAACAGTCTGTGAAACTTCTAAAAAACAGTCAGTGGAACAGTTCTGATAAACAGTCAGTGGAACAGTTCTGATAAACAGTCAGTGAAAATCCAGTTGTGGAAAAAAATTGAACACAAGACTTGTTTGCTTCTTCTCCCACAGGGTCAAGGTTCAAATGCTCAGATGATGAGTTCTGCGTCGGTGACCAACATTTCTTTGTCGGGATCGGAACAGGTCAGTTCTATTTTTTTATTTGTTAAAAAAAAATTGTTTTTGTTGAAACTTTTTGTTTTACTCTGAAAGGAAAATCTCTTTGTTGATTGGATATATGTAAAAACTCCTGTAACACCTTTAATCTTGGGCACTTATACAACCTTTATTGTGTTGCAAATGCCGTAAAACTCTTACTAAAACTTTAACAAATTTTCAACTGTCCGTGTGTCTGTGTGTCCCCTCACAGGGCAAGAGCAAGACTCTCTCTGTGGCAGGCTCCACCAACGTGGATGAGCCGGACGACCCCAACACCGAAGGTCACTACGACATACCCAAGTCACATCTCTCCTTGGACGGGTATGTCGCGCGGGGGGGGTTGGCTGCTCACTGCTGATGTTTTACTGCCCGCCTTTATTTACGTTAATGATAATAATAATAATAATAATA